ATTCTCAATTCAGAAAAACAAACAGTATGGTCTATTAGCTATGCAACAAATTAGATTTTGAAATCTTATATTGCTGAAAGATAGTGCAAGTTTGTTAAGCAAACAAGGTGTCCTAAGAATGGCTGCAGACAGAAATGAAGGACTTTTTCTTTGAAAAATATAACAAAATGCTATTCAGAAAAATTATTCATTATTGAGAATTTTTTCCATATCTCCCGTTTAAATATTTATTACTTTCTGAAAACTTTTATTGTTCCCATAAGATTTTTTTTCAGTATTCTCATTTAATCACATTCAAAATAGCAACAACAAAATTACTTTTGAATTAAGTTTTTTATGAGATATTGGTAACATTTACTGTGAAATTATTTTTTTTTTAAATAACCATCAACGTATTCAACATAATTTAATAGGGGAAAAACTCCGAATAAAAGAATAAAATTAGTTCTATGAACAGTTCATGTTTTTTGAATGTTTGTAAATGAAAATATCTTCATTCAGTGTAATGAAGTCAGAATTAGATTTAATTTGTGGCGGGGGTTATAAACTAATGTGAAGCTGTAGGCATTTTTAACAAATGACATCCAGAAGAACAAATTCACTATTCAAAGGTCAGTACAATTTTGAATAGCAAACAATTATAATAAAATGCATTTAAAAAGTGTACATTCAGAAGAAAACCAAATAGAAATCCTTCAGGTTGTTGTCGAAAACCCTAGAAGGTCCATACTATCAAGTTATGAATACAGGTGTAAAAACCCAACATAGAATAACATAATTTTCATTAACATCCAAAATTGTATAATAATATGTAAAATTTAATAGTAGCACCGCAATTGGATAAACGATATACCAATTCTAGGCAGCCTCCTTAGTCCCCAAAACTCATATTGCTGGATTTTTTTAGAGACTTTCAAACATGTACAAAGATTCACTTTCAGTAGTATTGAAGAAATTTGTTTATGTATTTACAGGGGAAAGACCATTTCAGATATAAGTAGTACAGTAGTACTTGATGCAATACAGTGGGTTAAATGTATCAAAAGAAAAGGTGAATATAGAGATACATTTCAATAATTTTTCTTATCAGTTGCTTATTTTTCTCATATTTGTTCAGTTGCCAAGGTATTTATTTAACCAACTAACTTTTGGAGGAGTTATTTTTTCACACTAAATAAAATGAGCTTAATCCTAGAGAATATACTTCAATTTCCATAGAAACTACTTTATTTCTAACAAGTGTTTTTGGAAACATTTCCTAACAACTTTCTTAATCTCTATTTGGTAATGAGTATAATATTCACCCACCTTATCTAAAATATCTGCTCTATTGGTGGATGCTAGCATGATAACACTCTCTTTGCTTGCCATTCCATCCATCTCGACTAATAACTGGTTCAAAGTTTGCTCACTTTCGCCACTTGCCCCTTCAGGGCTCATTTGTCCACTTCGCTTTCTTCCTACGGCGTCAATTTCGTCAATATATATAATACAGGGAGCCCTTTTTCTTGCTTCTTTAAATAAATCTCTGGAATGAATAATTCTCTAGTATTTTTTAGCTTAAGCATCAATAGTTCTCGGAAATACACATTTTGGATTTATTTCAAACTATAGTCTGTCAAATATGAGAATCAGGTTAATGGTAAATATTATATTTTCAAATCATTATGAACTTATTTTCAATAATTCACAAGATATCTCTTATAGATGTTATACAGTGTATAAAAGCCAAATGAAATAAATTCATTATTTCCGTTACAGTACATATTTTAACAAAATCCCGAAACACGTCAAATTTAAATTATAATTTGACATACTTCAACGGAAAAATGCTACCCCTACCTTCAACCCCCGTCGAATGACAGGTGCAATCCCCAATTTTTTAAATGGGAACTATAGGCTTGTCATATATCGTTTGAAAAGCCTCTTCATTCTCTATTCAAAATAGTTATCACTTTCGAATTTATTGCAACAATTAAGAGAGAAATAAATTAATTAAAATCATGTGGTTAATGCAAAACATAATCAAATATAGAATACGAAAAAGAACTATGGATATTAACGAAGTAGATGTTCAAAATGTTCACCGCGAACTTCTTGGCAACATCCTAATCTCAAATAAAACTGTCTTCTTTCTAACATTATTTATGATCCAAGTCGAAGACGTTTCACAGGTGCCTGATGGTTTTACTTCAACTCTCTGTGCGGCATTAGCTGGGTGGGTTGTTTGTTTTTCCGTTGGGTATCTGCCACACGTACCTAAAAAGTCGTAGGTCTGCATGAGAGGAAAGGGACAACCCTGAGCATGTCACAATGCACCTCTCCGGAATATTAATCATATCATATGCTGGCCAAACGCACATATGGAAATACTTCGGGGCTGAAACCACACATGATGTACTGGCTGTATACCATGGTGGTTAAACCCATGATAACAATGCTTCTATTGTCTGAATTTCATTAGTTCGGACTTCCATTCTCTGATATCATATAAAATAAATAGTTGAAAATAATTATATAAAGCAAAAAAACCTGAAATGAAATAATAGTGAAATAGAATACAGTACAACTTCTCTAGTTCGGACACTCGCTGATTCGGACACTCGCTGATTCGGACACTCCAGTAATCCGGCGTTCCTAGGTGTCCGGATATTTTACCTCTGTAGTCCGGACAAATGAATGTTTTCAATACGAATCGATATTAAACGCGGATTTTTCCTTTTTAAACTTGTCAAAACCAATATTGTTCGCAACCTAACGGGTTTGGCGCCTTTGGCGGTCAGTTATCGTTTAGTTACCGTGCTATCCAAAAAAGTTGGATAGCATTATGGCCGAACCAAAGAACTGATGCAGAAGAAGAGGAATCTGATGAAGAGAACATTCCACTTTCAGAACTTCAAAGACGACTTTGTCAAATAAACGAGGAAGATTTAAAAACCATTACCGCTTCCTTGCGTGTAATGAACAATTTGGATCGGGAAGATATTGTTGAATGGGCTTCAGGCAAAAATGAAATCATTGTTGATTTGACTGAAGAGGAGTTAATAGGTGATGCGCTAAAATCTAAGGATGCAGAGAGCAATGAAGATTTAGATGGGAATATTGAGATTTATAGCTCTCATGAACTCCTAAAACTTTTGTATGAAACATTTTTGTGTATCTCCTTCAACAAACCAGATATTGCCTGTCACATAAAATTTGGGACACCCGGTATACCCAGATTCTTAACGAAGCCGATTAGTTTGTATGGTGGGTGATCTTTCAGGTCAGATGGTAAAAGTACAGCTCTGCCAAACTAAAAACCTGATTCGGTCCCCAGCGGGGCAGGCACAAAGTATGTGCCCTGGTGTTTCATCATTTTCCAAACAGGCGACACACACTGTCTTCCGACAGTCCGAGTCTTTGCATATGATGATTCAAATGACAGTAACCTGTGAGAAGGCCTGTTAGACATTGTAGTTCATCCCTACTGTAGTCCAACAACTGTTTGGTATCAAGCTTCAAGGGGTGAATGAATGACTTGGAGTGAGCTAATCCTGGAAGATTCTACCAGAAGTCCATAAATCTTTTTGCCATCCAGGTGTTCAATGTTTGTTTGACAAAGCCTAAAGCGATGCCAATGACAGGTTCTGGTGAGCTGAAGCTGATTGCAGCACCCTCTTTTGCAAGGCAGCATCATTGCCTTCCAGGCTAGTGTGGCTAGGAATCCAGACCAGAGACAATCTGTTAAGTCTTCCTATCGAGGAGAGACGTTTTTTGTCAATTTGCTACCAATTCAGACGTTGCTCGGTAGGAGTCAAGAGCTTCCAACGCCACTTGACTGTCCGAGAATATTTTTATCGACTTGTGCATGAGGTTGGATTCTTCCAATCTCGCCGCACACAATTCAATAGCGCAACATATATGGGCCTTTTTGAGTATTTTATCCTTACCATTATTTATTGGTTAACATAATCTACTTCATTGTAAACCAAGGAAGAGAATTTGTTTTGGATTAAAATTTGGACTTTATCACACTAGGAACTTCTCCGTTGACCTAGATTTATCCATTTTTCAGAATGTGCAAGGTTAAAAACCCGAATGCGTCAAGAGTGACTATTAAAAATGCCTTTCAAAGAGACTTTATATGTAATATCCAATTTTTTGTAGTTTTATACAGTCACTGTTGGATTCCTTAACTACTACTCTTAGACCTAATAATTTATGAAAAGATTTTATTTTTACTCTTGTTTTTGAATGTGAGAGTCTGAAATCTTCACTTTATGTGATAATTACCATCAGATATATGTTAAATAATCTGTTCAACTATAATTTTGTGTAGCACAAAACTGAAATTAGATTAAAAATGGTGCTTGACAACTTGTTTGATTCTTTTCTTAGTTCCCTATTTACGTTTCATTCAACATTCGTGCTAAGAGTCACACGCTAAAAGGTAAGACCTCGTTAACTCTTAGCTAGCACAAGTTTCGACTTTTGAGGGTAGTTTATTGTGTAGGTATGGAAAAACGAATTTTACCCATTTCATCTAAAAAAAACTTGCACTAGATATAAATCACAAGACAAATAAAACGACTTTGAATAACAAGGTAACAATTTTATTTTTTGAAAATAATAATTGTTCATTATATGTTTATTTTGAAGGAAAATATTAAATGAGCGTCTTGATATGCTCAAACTTCTCCTACTTTCATTCAAACTAACAATTGTACATCACAGGCTATGAAAACTAAATGAACAGATGAAAGAGCCCACAGAATGATTGAAAATCAGTACATTTTATACATTACTAGGAAATATCAATAATGACTGATTGGCATTGAAGCATAATCATCAGTTATTTTTCACCTTTCTATTAGCAGTTAAAGAACATGCGATGATATACAAACTCGAAAAGTGCTCAATAAATAAGTATATTGCTCCCAGGTACAGGACTATTGCTATAGTTAAAACAAGATCAAATACTGCCGGTTTCACGCTGAAAAATAAAAAAAAATTGTGAATAACTGTTCACACACATTGATCAATAGTAAAAAATCATTTTATATTTTAATGTATTGACGTTTTTCTATCAAAAAAAGTTGATATTTGGGTAGTTTGGAAGGCATTATCAAATTCTTGCATTTGTTTCAACAGTGTACTACCAACTGGTCCATTTGAAATTTCCTGACTTTTCCCTGATTAAATTCTAAATATTCTTCTATTATCCAAACTTTTTTTGAGGATCACGAATTGTAAGAAACTCATTAAAACACCAAATTATTCAATTGACAAAAATAAGTTAATAGTTTTACACCAAATATAAGATACATTATATAAACAATCACTTGTGTGTACAGTATTATAAAGATTGCATTATCATTTTCTCAATCAAAGGTTTCACTATTGGCTTATTATCTTCATTAGTTGTTAAAGCCCCCCTCAATTTCAGTTTTTCCATTAATCATATTTTTATTTTTTTTTGTCATCGTCATTTCTGCAAAAACAAAATGCTTCTTCTTTTAGGATCTACTCTTCTGATAGTTTTTTTTAGTTGAGTGCATCTTTAGGTATAGTTACTGCTGATGTATCAACTTTTATAGCAAAAAATCTTCTAGAAGCTTATTCTGGTTTTTGTGACATTAATTGTGGATTTAAAGAAGTTTCCTTTAAAAATTTTATATTTCAGGCGTAAATTTGTTTTTCATTAACAGCAATTTAATAAATCTGAAAAGTAATTTGAACTTTTCTTATGTGTCCGATTTTTCATTAGGTTTTTTAAAAAGTTTTGTTCGTTTTATTGTCGTGTGTTTTTGTAGCTCCTTATCTCAATAAGTATTCCATCTATTGTGTTGTAGTATATACTGATCAAAAGAGAATTTTGTACTCTATACATTGATGCTGTTCATTTTTTTCCAAATTTTGATTTTTTGCCTCTTTTCAGCTTATTACAATCTTTCTATACGAATTCAAATTGAACCAAAGTGCTGCCGAAAGAGCCTGAAAAATTAATCAGGTATTTGGCAGTGATAATGTTAATAATGAACGCACTGTTCGACGTTGGTTTGGGTTTGCAAAATTTTGTTTTGGAGATTTTAGTCTACAAAATGAGCCCTGAAATGGTCGACCTAAAGTACTACAGGTCGAGGATTTGAGGACCCTGGTGGAGACTGACCCATCACAATCTTGACAATATTCTGCTGTGCAGTTGCTTCCTTGTCAATATTTCATTCACTTGGGTTGATTGCCAGTTTTTGATTATGATGCGACAGAACCGTATTTATCTAAGATCATGTGCCATTTTGAAAAATGTTTTGCAGAAAGGTGGCAAACCTGTTGCCATCCGACTCTGAATCTGTCAACCAATACAAGAAAAATAATCTACTGAAAAAGCACTTTTACTTCACCAGAAAATACTGTATGTTCTGGTGAGGGAAAAGTATTTCAATACATTCATTTTACACCAGAGGTCCCAAATTCTACTCATCAAAAAATGCTCCAATGGGAGAAACTTTATCACCTATTCAAGCCCAATATGTGATTAATTTATTAGATGAATCTATTCAAAAATTATCATTTCAGCTTCCTTTTTAAAAAAAAGTTGTGAATGATATAATTTGTGGGGTACTTACTGACAAAATTTATGGTATAAAAACCGGTTTTAACAATTACAATCCTTTTATCCAATTCACAGTAAAAAAAAGAAAAATAAGACAGTACTCTTTTTCAAAAACTTTTGTAAAGAGAAAAGATGATAACTCGGTTTTATTAGATAATTATTCCAAACCCACTAATTCAAGTAAATTACCTATCTGATAAAAAAATCGAATTAAAAAAAATGTCTCACCCTAAACTGTTAAAGAAAAAGTTAACGCAACTATTCAATATTCTAGTGACTAATTTTTATCCTCTAGAGTTTTTGAATAAAATGTTATAATACTCTCCTAATATTATTAACATCACAGAAAACGATCAGGCTGAAAATATAAATTTCAAATAGTCTTCCATTTCTTATATCGCTGAACTTTCCAGCAAAATCATTAACATATTTAAACAAAAACAGAATCTCAAAATTTCACCAAAGAAAATTGAACCTTTAATTAAACCTATAATTTAATTTCTGAGATGTTTGAACTTTTCGAATCTCCCACCTTACAAAGAGAGTCCTTCCACAAGGTTTTAGTTCGTTTCCGTAATTTCAAGTAATGCCATCATGATCATATTGTATTTGCTTCTGATAGTAGTTGTGCAACGTAATAATAGAATGAGAATTCTTTTTTAGTTTGCCCCTATTGTAATATTTATTTATATACTGAACAATAAACACCTGAATAGTTGAATCTTACTTTTACCATCGGGTACACATCAACTAGGATAAAATATTTGAAAAAAAAAAACAGTTATCTGTTATACACTACATTCGATAAAAAAATATCAATTTTCTACCCATTATGTGATTGGTACTGTAATATTACCATAACGAAATGATGACAAAACACACCCAAAAACACAAAGAATTACATTTCTCATTCAATTTCAAGAGTGAACAATGATGCAAAATAAATGAGCGGACTTTAAGTTTCTTTAAAAAAATAATCATTTGAGTTAATATTTTATATTTACCTGTACACGTTCACAGTTCCGCTGGTAACTTGATAAAATTGAAAATCAGGATCTTTCTTATCAGGAACAGCATGCGTTACTTTTACATCCCTCAAATATTTACTAAAGGTATCTTTCAACATAGTTACTAATACATTATCCTTATCACTCAACAGCTGAGGAGATCTAGGTTGACTTGTCAAATATTCAATCCAAGTGTTTATATAATTTCTATTTACATCCTGAAATATAATTTCGAATCAGTAATTTTTGCAACAAATGCGTAGGACAACAAAGTTACATTACATTTTCAAAGCAGATTATCGAAATATATATACAAATGATGTTCAGTTCAGTTATATCCTTAACATTAAAAATAAGTACGAAAAATTGTGAATTGCAAATACAAAGTCATTAAATAGATTACAAAAGCATAAGTTCTTGAAAATACATTCAGACAGTTGTTTATCATTGGCTGTGCTACGGACTTAGGCACAGTACATGAGAAAATTGTAAAAAAAGTAATTTTTCTCTCCCCTATCTTGACACCACTGGCAATGTTTTACGAACAGTTTATTTTGGTAAAAAAAAATAAATATTTGTTCACATCACACTGCACCGTTTTTGAAATATTCAATCAACCATCAAATTGGTTTTACTGTTTTAGCAGTGGTTTTGTTTAGATTAAAACAAATAACTTTCCATTAGAAAAAAATGCAAAATTATACTCTTCCTCGAGCTACTACTTCAAGGTTTCTTTGAGAAGGTATACTTAATCGTATGTCAACAGGTGACCTGATAGACACAAATTGAGTTCTTTTCAAAAATATCAAGATCCGCTAGGAATGTTCTTGTAGAAGAAATCATTTTCAAGCGTATTGAAAATCACTCTACAACTAATTTTACGAAAGTGAAATTACTTGACAATATGTCCACCACAACAATACATAGAATAATAAAAGAAAAACAAAATTTTCCATTTCGGTTCATTAGTTTTCAAGAGTTATGTGCTGGAGATAAGCAAAAGAAACTTGACTTCTGTAACTGGATAATAAAAAAACACAGTCGTGAATAAAATAATATTCAGTAGAGAACATCATTTTCAATTTTCTTTTAAAATAAATAAAAGACAGATACATTTTTGAGATATCATAAAATCTAGGGCTAGGGTGTTCTTAATGGGAGAAAATATTAAAATTTCCTGGAAAATAATTACAGTGAACTTCTGGAGGAAGTGCTTTTAATAACCAGAACCGTTTTATGGAACATGCATGACGGTCACAACTCAATACATACTCGTAGGAAGAGCACGGGTGAATCACCACTACAACCATAGACAGGCGCTGAGAGAAGCGCCACAAAAATGGTCACTCTGTAGTCCGGATCACATTCACTGTATATTAATGGGAATATTGATGGGAATTGAACAAGAAAGATTATGCAATAAGAATTAAAATCAATTTACAACTCCATTATTGACCAAACAAATTATTTTTAAAATTTTGAGCTCCAAGGAGCAACGGTTTTACAGATTTTTTTACTAATTTTATTTCTCTTTAATTAATGGGTACAAATTAAACTTCAAAAAAATGTATTGCCACAGAAATGCACCATCAAATAAAAAATTAATAGTAAATGGAAACTTGCAATCAGGGCTTTTTGATATATCGATAACAATATTATTGTTTGTGCAAGTATTCTTGGTAAAAATGCAAAAAAAAAAATGTTTGTAAGGAAAAACATAAAAATTGCTGGCCCGTCAAAATTTGCAGACATCTACAAAATGTTATGTAAGACACCTACAAAAAGTGCATCCAAGGTACAAAATTCTACAATCTGTAAACAAAATACAGCTGCTTTCTATGGGTCAAAGGTAATAGTGTTCCTTTTCCCTGTATGTGCTGGTATAAGTTACAAAAGTAAATCCTTGAAATCAATTCTTTGTGTACTCAATTATTTACTGTATTGATTCATGTTTTTTGATAACTCTCAGTTTAGCCTTGAACTGAGTGGAGCTGATATAGCCACTCATACATTCAATACACTTTTAAACAATTACAACCACAGCTTGCTTCTCTTAAAAAAAACTGAGCTGCCATCCGACGTATAATAAGTACCAACTGTTGTGTTGTGTTACAACACAAAGAAGTGATATACAACTCACCCAACTGTTTCCAAAAACATCACCTCCTGATACATTATAAATTTGTCTTGCCAAAGCCTCCGCTACAATTTTGGTATTCTTCACTAGTCTATCTACATTTAGGTTTTCTCTGGTATCAAATATTGTCGACCTACGAAAGTCTTTGTGACTTTTAAGAGAGGATAAAGTAAAAGCAGGCAATCTTCTTATACTGAATCTTTCATGTTCCCATCCTAAAATATCATCAGCTAAGTTTATCTTTTTATGTACTCCTTCGACTGTTGTGGCAGAGTTCAAATCCATTGCTGTGGATTTGAGTTCCTTATAGAATAAAGATGCAGATGAGGATTCCTTCGGAGGTTTGGAGACGTGCATGTAAATAGAATCACTTGCAGCTAGAGTATCAAGGCACATTACATAAGAAGCATCCTACAACAGAACATTGGATAATGTTTAAAATAAATATACCTCAATGATTGATTTGTCCGTACATATTGGAAGAGTATTTCATACCTGAATTAATGATCCATCCAGAATATCTAATTGATTTTCAAGCCAGTTTTTGCTTCCTTGGTAGTTAATCTTTCCACCACCAGATAAAACAAATATTATGTTGTAACTACCATGAGTTTTTGATACCGAATACAGACTAGAAAATAATCTGACTAATTCGAGAAGTATAACAACACCCGAGCCATTTGAGTCAGCTCCAAAAGATAGTTCCTACAAAGATGTAAGTCAGCTAGAAAATAAATTGAAATATACAAAAATCCACAGTTAAAACATTGTCTCAATAGAGAACAATATCACTATTTATGCTGATTGAATGTAACTACTCACAGGTGCTACTCCAAAACTGTCATAGTGTGCAACGACTGCAATGGTAGGAATTTTGCCAAATGAGCTGTAACCAGACAATTGACCCTGTATAGTAGTAACTTTGGCATCCGTTTTGATACTGGGATTATTTGATGACACAACTATTTGATATCCATTGGCAGCTACTGAATTGATGAGAGCCTCAGCTGCAGACTTGCTCATATCACTGCTATCCACATTATTCGAAATTTCTTTGATAATTGATTCGAGTTGAGGAGAATGTTTAGCAAAATACACTGGGATGGATATTTCTTGTGCTATCATTGCATTTTCTAACACAAGTAAATGCTAGAAAAATAGAGTAGTGAATGAGGTGCAATATATTGTGCAGTCTAAAGTAGATGGATTAATTCATTTTCTGTGTTACTAACTTTTGAAATAAAATCGGAAACATTTAAATTTTTACTCAAAAAATTACACTATTCTTCATGATAATGTCATCCCACACTTCAGGGCTATGTAATATTAAAATGTATTATATTAGATGTTCAATTGTGTAGATAGAATATAAGCTGCCGCCCTGCAAAGGGGCGTTAGAATATACCTGCCGGGAGAAGTATCACCCATGGTGTGGTAAGAGTCCTCCTGAATGAACCCTCATCCTAAGGTTTGTGCATGTGTGGTGAAAATATGTTCAAGTCTGGGTCAATCAGTGTCCCTAACAGTACCTTTAAGATACCGGGCACTCTCTCGTTCGAAAAAACCTTGTCATGGAAATTCGGGGCCTTCTTTCCCTAGCTTCTCATAGAATCTTTTATGAAGCGTAAAGTAACCAAGAACTCACAAGATCTTCTCAGTTCTCCAGCTCTTCATCTTGTTAACAAATCTAGGGGGTGCAACCAGAAATGACTTATCACCCCTCCAAGAGCAGATTATCTTATGAATCTGCCTTGCACCAAATTATTGAGCAGAAAAATCTGCATCAGTAAAGGAAACAAATATCTGGGCAGATCAGCAAACGCTTATGCTTAAACGATGATTCACCTAAACCAGAGACAAAAAACCTTATAGCTGACTTACAGATTTACTTGGTGAGATTACTGGAGTCATCAAAGTTGGCATATTGCATCTTGAACCTCATCACTGATATTTGTTGAACTTAGATGATGAAACTTGAACAATTAGGTGAATACGAACATTGGATAATTATTGGGTGTTTCATTTAAGAAAAAATATTTATGGTTGTTTATCAAACATACAAATGACGACACATTTTTTAAATACTCTGTATGAAAAAGTGTTCAAGTTTCCTCTGGAATGAAAACCACCATACCTTATGTGAATGATGACAGAATTTGAACTCGCTGTATTACTTGAGTTATTCGATATTGAATTTTAAATTCATCTTATTTTGGTAAAAAAATTCAAAAAAACAATACTTAAGGGACAGTGATAAATAGGTATAGGACATACTGCATGAAAGTGATTCATATTTTGAAGCAGAGTTCAAAAATGGTACAATATAGAGTGTGTTACATTTGAAATGTCCAAGTTGATGTGTATTACATATGTAGATGTGGCAACAATGCAGAGGTATAAAATATTTTCAAAGTCCAGATTACTGACCTCTATCACGGTATTCAAACTTTGGAAAACATCTTTACAGTTCTCCAAATATATCTAATGGACCATCTTAGCTGGAATACCCTGTATACTCTTTCCACACAGTAAAAAAAAAAGAAAGACTGCATGCAGCCTTCAGACAAATGATATTATATCTATTGAATTTGGACTTTTGCAGTTCATACATTTTTGCATAACCTCACCAAAAATTAAATACTACCAGATAATCAAAAATATCTTTACTCTGCCATAGACTACAAAATTAAGTATTGAAAAATTATAATTTGCAAAAACTAGATGGCAATAGATGAAAAAAAATGATTGAAAGCAAAAGTGAAAATACATTAAGTAAGTGAGAGGAAAGTAGAATGAAGAATTACATAAATCTCTATGAATAAATTATCTGAATAATTGATTTATACGGTGAGGGAGAAAATTGGAAAATACTGACAGTATTAGACAAGGAACTATTAAATAAGGAAGAATTTGTTATAATAGTTTACGATAGCTAATATTATTAAATATTAATATCAAATGAAAAATTTGAGACAGGAAAAAGATTACTTTGTGAAACTATGGTGCAGAGTACTGGTGGTCCCAAAAAGAGTACTGTTCAGAGCTAGTAGTAGTAGGATTGGAGAAAAAATAAAGTAGTTACTAGGGAGTTAGGAAAAAAAAGTATTAGTTCTGAGTGTTTTCTTTCTTTTTTGAGTTCAATTTTAAATATTGAATAAACATTTTCAGTACCTTTTGTTAATAATTTTAAAGAAATTATAAAATTCTTCAGTGATATGAAGAAAAAAAAAACAATTATTTGCTCCATAGAACAAAACAAAAAATCATTTATTTCTCACATTGTCAGGTACTGGTGAGATTACATAAGTTTTGAAGATAATACAATTATGCAAAGTTTCAAGCGTATGTTTTTTCTGGTGATCACAAATCAATAGACAAAATTTATCAAAAAAATTTGTCGATAAGACCATTAAAAAGACAAAAAACCCCAGTTTTTTCAGATATTTACCTTTGGCAATAAGAACTCTTAAAATGCCAACTTTTTTTCATGATTGTATGCTGTAGATCATAGACCTTCATTCACCTATATCAGGCATGCTTGAAGAATTCAAAATCCACTTTGGAGCAGACAAACAATTCTACTCTTCTGGTTATTGTTTAAATTTATTGTTATGCCACATATTATATGAAAAGGTGAATTTTAATATTATATTGTGAAAAAAAATTTATGAGTTATATGTTAATAATAATAATAATAATAAAAATTGTTAATTGAAATAAGTTTGATAAATGTTCACATGAACCATGTATTACAAAAAAATATGAAACTCTGTGATATCAGTGGTTTTACTATACTGCATAAGTACTCAGATTTATGAATACAATTTTAGCTGCACTTTTTGGCAATAATTCTCATACCGAAATGTTCGTTTCTTTCATTTTCATGCAGTTTGACTCTTCTTTCATTTCCTATTTTGTATTGCATTTCAACAAGCAAAGAAGTCAAATAAAAGACTATTTGTCAAGATGATTGTCAAAATTCTGGTTATTCTAGTAATGTCGTTGGACACTAAAAACATCACCCTTTTTGAACTATCGAAAGTTTCAAAAGAATTAAATTATTTTGATACAATCAATATAATCTTATTTTACAATTTGCATGGGTTAAAAATAAGTGACCAAAAGGAAAGTAGCATTTTTCATATTTTGGATGAAAAACCCATTTCAATCATCAACAGACAAAAATATGCAAACTGAAGAAATTCAATTCGAACCCAGAAACGAAATATTACCGAAAATGCTACACCTAATATGCCTTTGGTATCTCCGTTACCTGTTTGTCTTCAGGACTCAAGAGGGTTAATTCTTCTGGAAGCATGATAAGAAGAGCCCCAGCTTTCAATTTGATATTCCTAAAACTATCCACAGTCAAATCCTTCAGTTTAGTAATGACGCAATGCCTAGGAGTACTCCATCCTGTTAAGGATCTTGCTTCCAAGTTGATACCGGCGCTTCTACACCCTATGAGAAATGATGATAAGACCTAACCTCACTTTAGTAATATCATTTGAAATCATTTTCGTGAATTGAAATAGTATTCAATTTCCATACCATGCGCTATTCCATGTAAATCATAATGCTGCATGCGAAATACAGGAAATTCCGAAGAAGCTGAGACTGGACTTGCAGGAGAAACAATAATGAAAATTGGCAAAACTATCAATAAATAATATGGCAAATAGCCCTTGAAGATTTCTTCAACTTCCTCCAGCCACATTATGGATTATTATTTATTATTAGCAAACTAAATGACTACACCAGCATTACGAATTCATAAAACCTCATGAATGAATAATTTAATTAAAAACCAGCACACGTTCCTAATCTAGGTAGACTGTCAGTGTCAGTGACTGTTGACAGTAATTAAGTGACAGTGACAGTACAATCACGGCTCTATAACTACCAACTGGCACGCCCAAATTATTTTGAACAGATTAATTCGTTTGATAAAAATGTTACATTTAGGCAAGATGTATGGAAGATCCCTGGTGTGATCATTTGGATCCATTCCCATATTCTATCACATTCCCATATTTTATCCCATTTCCATATTTTATTGAAAACAAAATTTATTATAAAAACTTAAAAAAAATCACCATTCCATCAATAGACGTAGTGAATATATACACTTCAAGAGCCACTGTTTGACAATGCCAAGTTGACACTTCAATTTTCAAAATCATTTACATCTAGGAATAAATTGATATTATGCAAAACAGTTTTTCATAAATCCAAAATATGCGCAAAGATTTCCATTTTGGCATCAGTGGCATAACAGTTTTTTGGGATCTCCGCAAAAATCCTAGACAGTCCCTTAGCTCTTTGTCATTCTCACTAGCTCTCGTCTCATGTTTACCTCAAACGTTACATATTATAGGTACTATGAGTGTAAATAAATTAGCAAAGCATCATAACAACAGCATATAATACCTAAATTATTTATTACAGTACATTCACAGGACTAAAACTTACGTCAAATAGTTTTATGACTCAAATTGGAATCAGGCACAACATGATGAATAAGAAACGGAGTAAAGTCCATTCAAAGTTTTTACTTTAGTCAAGTATTCGATGAGAGTGAACACAATTTATCTACTTTGTATTTTATGAATCTGTTCTCAAACATCAAATACATATTATTTACAATATCATATTTTATTAAAATAAAAAACAGTCACTATTTTTTGTAATTTTTCAAAATTATGAAATTACCTTTATATACCTTTGAAATCTCATTTCATTCAAGTAGCAGACTTCTCCGTTTGGAGAAAAGGCTGAAACTTGTTCCGGAGGAACAGTTTGGATTCAGGCAGGGTCGTAACACGACCTCGCAACTAGTCCGACTGGTCCAAGAAAAGAAGAAGGCATTTCACCAGAAGAAGAATACAGTCATGGTCCTGTTGGACATACATAAAGCCTTTGACACCGTTTGGACAGAGGGATACATCGCGAAAATGAGGACGGCACACATGCCCTTATACATGATAAGAATCTTGGATTCTCATCTGATCAACCGGAAATTTAGGGTAAGAATACACCAAGCTATCTCTACGGATTTTTCAATGGAAGCAGGTGTTCCGCAGGGGTCCTGTTTATCCCTACACCTATACTCTCTGTATACATATAACTTTCCAATGTTCGCAAAAACGAATATAGGCATATATGCAGATGATACTGCCATATATGCCCATTCTTACTTTAGTGAGGTGGCAACACGCCAAATACAGATTCACCTGGATCGGTTAGTTGTACCGTACATGGAGAGGAATAAGATAAGGCTAAATCCGTCAAAGACTGAACTTGTGAATTTCACGAAGAAATTCACCGACGTGAAGATCTTCAGGAAATTGATGATTCAAGGAAAGTGTGTGGAAGAACAGGAAAGTGTGTGGAAGAACAGAAAAGTGCGAAGTATCTGGGTGTTATCCTGGACAAGCGCTTGAATTTTCATTAGCACTTGAGTCTGGCAATTCAGAGAGCGGGAGCGGCAATTAAACGAAACTATCCTCTCATTGCAATAAATTCCAAACTTAGTGTGGACAACAAGCTCCTGATATATAAGCAAATTATCAGGCCAGCTATATTGTACGCTTGTCCTGTGTTCTGTAGCCTTAATAAGAGGACTCCATTGCGGAGACTCGAGATTATGCAGAATAAGGTGCTTCGTATCGTGACTGATAATGATCGATACATTTCATTGGAGCGTTTACGAGACATAACGAAGGTCGAGCCGATTACGGATTTGATCCGAAGGCTTGCTTACAAACACTTCAAGTGGTTCCTTCCGAAAAATCCGCTGATTAGTAATATCACGGCAGTTAGAGTTTATCATAATTAACCCCGCCGTCATGGTGGGTTGATTTACGAAGCACTCGATATTTTCCATGAGCGACATGTAAATGACCGTTTGTAAGCTCATGAAAATCCTGACATAGAAAACTTCCTGTAGACATTTTGTGCTGTTTTTTTCATGAACTTTTTCCAGGAGTATCCAGCTAACCAACACATCGACAGCTATGTTTTCATTTGAATGACCTGAATATCAAAACCATGTAATGATGTGCATAAGCCTTGGCTGCAGGAGGCACATTACCTAGTCGTTTTGATAAAGTCTATGATTCTGGGTGAGTATCAACCCGTTAACATCGCGGGGGGCGTTCCCCACCGTCTCCTCTCGGCGGGGGGACGCGAGTGCGCGTCTGTCTGGAGTCACTTTGCTCCTCTACCCTTAAGGTGGAGGTACTCATGAAATGTAGGCATGTAAATAGTTTATTTTAATAAAGAAGATTTTTGCTTTTTACTTTGATTTCGTTCAAGTAATTAACTGGAAACTAGAGCCCAAACATAACGTATTTATGATTTACCAGCAGACAGCGCTGTTTTGACACGCAATCGGTCTCATCATTAGTGCTAGGCTGACCCACAATGCATTGCTGGATTCAACATTCAACTGTCTGCGGTTTGGTTGGTTATTTGTTCAATACCTATCAAACTTTCGATAATTTCAAGCTTCGTAGGCATTATCCTGCATCATCTTCAGATAGGGTTACTTATCTAAAAATTTGACATTCATTTGAAAAAATTTTATGAGTTCGTTTTGAATTAAACGGCTTATTTATCACGGTACTTTGAACCAGACATGAACTTTCGCAAAACAGGATCGCACTTGCACAACAAATTAATAATTCTAATTTACATTTGTTTACTGCCAGTCTTCAAGCATAGTCCACTGACTAATAAGAAAGATTAATAATTGCTAAAATATCCGCTATCTGCTTGACCTACTTTTTCTGTGTTACCCCGAAAAGCTAAGCTTAAACACTGTCAATGTTGAAGTTACATTTTTAATGTGGTCCAAAACTTTAGTACATTTGTTTGTTTTTTTAAGCTCTGATGCCATTGTAGAATCAACAGTTTGTTGTTTTTTCTCGTATTAAACACTGCGTATACATTCAAATGAGTATAGCTATCCATGCTACGGAAGTACCTACTTTTTGAAAAATAAGAAATGAAAATTTCCACGTTTTTTACCACTTTTATTTGTAACTAAAGTTACTGTAGTTTCATCCTATAAGGACATTTTCATTACAGTAATCTAAAAATGAATGATAACATTACCCCTTACATAACAACGTAGGTAATAACATAGGTAGGTACTTAATTGAGTACCTGAATTTTGTTTACTTTTGTGACAATGTGGATATGCTAATTTGAAAACCGGTGAGTAAACTAGATCGATTTGATCATTTAGCAGGTTACAACCGCAATGCTTATGCTTATCAATTTCTAAGGATCTCAAATAATTGAGTTTTCAACCCTTGCTTGCAGAATGCAAAATGTCCGTATATGTGGGTACATTTAAAGGAATGATTTGAAAACGTCGAATCATTTTTACCTAGTCTGAAAAGGATCTTTCATGTTCAGCATATCGTTTTGAAACCACATTATCCCACATAAACACTATCACATTCTTAAGATTATAAACTCCAAATTTCTCCATCTTGTCCACTTTATCTTTGGCATTGAAATGGAAATCAGATAACCGGGCATGTGGTCTGAATGCCTCTTTCACATTGTTTTTTCTGAAAAATCCCGCAATTATCTCTGTTCTTTTACCAAAATATATTAGAGTTACAAATTTCTTGATTTCTGATTGTTTGATCTGGGGATATATTAATCTGTAAATGAATATACGGCTTCTGGATTGTGTCTGCGTAGACCCCATCATTATGTCCTATTTAAATTTCCATATCTAGATTGTTAGCAGATAAAGGTAGCGAGAATGCTCTGTTCAACATTGAATTGTAGGCTAATTCATGATTGTCAGGATGAAAAGAATAACTTGGGATTGTAATGTCTGAATAGCTCGATTTTCTATATACACTGAACTCAAATTTATTTATTATTAAACATCGCTACTTGACGGTACACATTTTTTATCCATCGTAACATAGCAAACATATTTTTCTTTGATTATTAAAAAAAGCGTCAATTAAGGCACCGTTTTTTTTGTGTAGGTAATTATGCAAAATGAATCATAATTTACAGCTCTGTTACGCCAGCAACGCAAAGTACGGAATTCGCATTTAGAAAATGCCAAAGTTAGGTGCTCTGTAACTTACACCGCAACTCAATAGATACTCAAAGTTGCGTTGCTAGCAGTATGTGATGCTAGCAACGCAATGAAAATAATAATTAAATAACGAATGTTGAGGGAATATTCCATAATTCACATGGGGCTTATAGACCCAATAACCACCTTTAAACATTTTTTTTTAAATATGAACCTGCTATCGCACCTCTACGAACGATAACCCTCAGAAATCGAAACTTGTGCGAACTAACGAGGTCTTACCTTTTAACGTGTGATTCCTAACACGGGTTGGATGATAACAAGTGAAAATTGAGCGTTCAGCATGGGGCTTGAACCATCAACTCACACATAGGCCGATTGACTGAGTGAACACAGATCCACGTCGAACCGCCCGGCTACCGACCGACCGGAATCTTGATTTACTATAAATATCTAATGAGCACCTAATTAGCACTTTATTCTCATACCCGTACTTATCGAGGAACGTAATGTAAGAACTCTTTCCATCAGTCATAGTGGTTTTCCATAATGCCCCATAGGCATTATGGAATCTAGGTTTACTATTATTTATCTAGTAAGCACTTAATTAGCACTTTATTTTGATTGTCTATATATTAGTTTACGAGTATCTCAAGACTTTATTCCATATTGTTACATTTTTTTCTCAAATCAGGTATCTGGAATTTTTTTGTTCACTTATTCGCGGTCGTTTTCATCTTAATTTCTTGCAAGCACCTAATTAGCACTTTATTACCACGCTTAGTTTATACCTGATAGAGCATTCGTCCTCGTTTTAGAGAGACCTGATTCTTAGATCTGTTGTTTAGTGAAATTGGAAGCTTTTGTTTATTAATTAGAACATTTTACGATCCTCACCGTTTAGCACCTAATTAGCACCTAATAGTGTTCCCTTAACATTCATAATTTTATTATTATTTTCATTGCGTTGCTAGCATCACATACTGCTAGCAACGCAACTTTGAGTATTGAGTTGCCGTGTAAGATACAGGGCACCTAATTTTTGACTTCGGTACCTAAAAAGCACCTGAAAAGTACCTAATTTTGGCATTTTCTAAATGCGATTTCCGTACTTTGCGTTGCTGGCGTAACAGAGCTATAATTTACAACTTCGAACTATTCACAGATGACCAAATTCATAACTTTACAGATATTGTTATATTATTTTCAATAGTTATCATAGTTCGTCATAGTTCATTTTAAATCATTGAATTGACTTTTCGACGAAGTAAAACCGAGTGTACCCCACCAAAAATTTGTAATGTGGCGAAAAAAATTGATATTTTTCAAAAGTTCGTCATTTGACAAAAGTGGGAGTTATTAGAAACTTGAATGGTTTTATACCAGTCATGTATAGTTGTTGTTAAGATGATGGACTTGAGCGTCAGTGCTCTTGAGGTTCAAAAGTTTATCTTGCGGTACCTAGTTTTTTTAATCACTCACTATTCAAACTATTTGAAATTCAATAAAAACAAAATTTGAAAATACATTTGAAGGTTTTTTTTTTGGTTGCTTCTGGTTTTGATATTTAATGATATTTCTCTCATTCACTCGTTGAATAACTATTGAA